AGTCTTGAGGAACAGTAGGGCCTCCGAGGAAGAACTTCAGAAAATGTTGGATGCCACGAGAATATGCGTCGCAGTGCTCATTGATGGTTGCCTTGTTCGCAATCTTTCGAACCCGGCGCTCCTCCCGTAATCGTGTCTCCCGTTCCTCCACATTAGCTCTTTCCCCGCGGGCATGGTCAACAACAAAATCAGCCTCCAATCGGCTCCGGTCAGTTACGCCTCCTAGGTTCAATACTCCAGATGGCTGTGAACCTGCAAGGGGGAAACCCAACTGAAAATTAGTTTTTAGTGCATGTTAACCGGTAATTCAAGAGTCAAAACTCACCACCCTGGGTAGTATCACCAGCAGTTGTACTACGGTCTGCTTCGTTCGTAATATTGGCCTGGACACCGTCTACAACATCAGAAATCCAGTTATGTTCGCTATCTACAGCTCCTCCTTCAGGCGGTCCAGTCTGACCTCCCTCTTGATCACCGCTCTGATCACCACCTGGATTGTCTCCGGAAGGATTGTCATCAGGAATATCTGGATTCATTTCTGAGGTATCAGGTATAGCTTAAGAAAATTGTAGTTATTTGGAAAAGTCTGTTGAATGGAGCTCAGGGATAATAGTGTATCTTGAAGACCGGGAGGGATCAAATTGGAGGGGGGACATGGGCTTGTGTTAACAGCAACTTAAGCTCACGATATACACAAAAATGCTGTGCCTTGAGGATCACAGTCAGAAGAAATACAAGTCACTAAATCCGCCTAAATCAAAGGGAAATACCCTCATGCCCACCCCTTTCACCAGAAAACTTCGAAATTTTGCACAAACAACAAGAAGCTAGATACCCATTGATATTATGTATCAAGCCCTTCCCATCCCTAGATAATCAATACATCAGTAAATTGCTCCAAAACGTATCACAAGAGCATAACTTACCAGTGTACCCAATCCAACAGCCGTCACTGTTTTGAATCCAATCCCAAAGGTTCCTTCAGGGTTCTTAAGAACAGCTACATGCCCAATAATTTTTGTGTGCTCAACAATAATTGGAACTTCAAATTCGTCTCGAACCAACCGGCAATTCAGGTCCGGATATTCGTTGTAAGGATCGTCACTCTTGTCCAGCTCTTTGAAAGGATTAACGATAACCCACGTCTTCCCAGGAGTTTGTATTGAACCAAATATTTCCTTGATGGTGCCAAACCTTTGGTTGACACCAAACAAAAACTCAACATAAGAATTTCCAAGATGGTGATTTGCTGTGCTAAAGTTCTTCCCCTCAATTTTAATCATCTTCCTTGTTGATACTGCGGCATTAAGCTCCATGCAATTTCCACCGAGCTTTCCCCTGGATGACTCTTTCCCTGCAATAGCTCGCTTCCACTTTTTCATCATTTGCTCATCGAGATTCAGATTGGTCTTCTCCTCCTCCTGGTCCGATGTGCCCACCAACTGGCCTTTATTCCTTTCCACCCCGCGGATTAGGAATTGAAGGGTGGAGTTGACATGCCAATTCTTCAATAGTGTTTTTGGTATCTCAGCTAATAACAAGACATATATCTTTTCAGCTGTATGTCATGTGATAAGGAGTGAAATAAAAACAAACTGACATGGGTGGTGATTCGTGGGCAATCTCTGCAGCATCCCATTGACACGTTCTTGAGCCCATGCTGCTGTTGATCTAGGTGGACCTAAACTCCGTATGACATTTGAATAGTGCTGTGTCAGATGCAGGTTAGGCTTGCTTGATTGCTGCGGCCAGCCTTGCTGGAGACATTTTCTGTATTGGACTATCAAGTCATCAAGTTCTGGTAGATCTCTTGGGTTGATCTTCGGTGAGGTGAGGAAATGGGAAATCCTAGAGAGTAGAGTTGTTGATTCTAGCAATGTTGAAACACGTTCCTTTTCTTCTTCTGTAGCACACTCCGCATAAGCCTTCTTCCAAATAGGAATTAGTGCAATTGTGTAGTAAACTTTGTAGAGGATCAGCCACTCAGCAGCCTTGAGTGAGCCATGACTTTTGGACCCCAAATTGTAAGGAACTCGGTCAACCCACGAAGGGACTGTCGTGTGAATGAGTGTTCTCCTAACCACCTCAAGCTTGTCAGCCCTCAATCGATGTGAGATTCCACCCTCCTTTCCCAGTGGCTTCAGTGACCTGTCTTGCTTTGGTCCCCTTTTGGTACAATCACTGTTGCGGTCGTCTTCTGAGTGTTCAGTATCTGCACTTTCATTGCATATGTTGTAAATTGCCTGTTTTCGAGCTCTTAAATTATAAGAGTGGCTTGTTTGCGTGGTCTCAGAGCTTTGGTTGGAGGAGTCTTCAGACTCAGATCCAGGATTGGGTAGATGTTTGGATTGTCTCCCTTGGAGGGAAGGACCTGGTTGAGTATTACGGCCTCTCTTGGCTGGCTTGAGTGATGTAGGTTTGTTGTTTGGTTCTTCAGTGCGCTTCCGCTTCCCAGGATTCTTTTTTGGTTCAGCTGGAAAGAGATTGGTGAATGGAAGTGCCGTAAAGTGGTCATCCATCTGCCACTCTTCCTCTTTTGCCTGAGTTGCCTGGAGTTGTTTTGCTGCCGAGGGGAGGTAAAGGAACCGGAGGCTGTGATCCTTCAAGTCGCCAAGAATTAATGCATGCATCAGCTCAATTGAGCAATGATCCACCGGCCGCCAGTACGGGAGCTCATTCAGAACGCTCCATCTTGCGCCGTATTTCTTCATAAAGCTCTGCCGGCCCTTGTAGCTATCAAGTGCCAACCACTCTTTTGCATGCAGTAGATGTTGCTCGTTGGATCGCACCGGGAACTTCGTTTGATCCGTTTCTTCCAAGTCCTTCTTATCCAAAAGGCAAAAGGAGCAGAACAAGGTTGCTGCATGACTTCCAAATCCAGCTGCTTTGCGGAGTGTGGGAAGGTCAGCAATCAGGGGGAAGACTACAGCGCGGATAACCCTCCCTTGAGGATGTGTTGCAGTGGATTGGAATTGAACACCCTTCCAAAAAGCCTTCAGCTCGGTGACTAAGGGTCGCAATAGGTGGTTCACTTGTTCAAGACTGGGCTCTTTAGGGCCCGGGATAACCCCAAAGAGGAATATATTTTCAACCTTGTAGCGTTGACCAGGCGGGAGATTTAAGCAGATCAGAGTAATGGCCCCGACAGAATTGTGTGAACCAAGGCTTGATGATCCCTCTGCATTGAACCAGTCAAGATACAGGCTGAATACCAGGTTTCCAGACGTCTTGGTGTAGATCCCATTACCCCCTTCTGTTTCAGGAAACTCCTGCCACACCTTTCCGTCCCACACATCCTCCATCACCTGATCCGAACCTAGAAAATTGGCCGACAGGCTGGCATCTAGTTGTGTCTCAAAGTGTGATTCCAAAAGTCGAGCCTTGAGCCAAGTTTCAAGTTTCATATAACTGAATGTACGTAATGGCTTCAGTTTATTCTTTTGATTTGGTGCCAGCAAGTCTTGGCTACATTCTGGCTTGACCGCCTGCTCTTTTGCCCATTTGCAAAAGGTCTGATAGGATGATAGGAAGGCCTGGTTGCATTTTTTTGGGCACGGGTTTTCCTTGTCGTCTAGTGGGTACAGGGCAAAACACTTCCTGCAGCAGGCTTGTGTAGTCAGATCAGGGTTGAGTCCAAGACGGTTAAAGACTGCTTCACGGGTGTGAGGTATCTGAGCTACCATTCTTGACACATCAGGGGTCTTATCTTTAGTACTCCAGATTTTCGAGAGCAATATAGCGTTTTCACGAGCTGCTTGTAGAAAATCGGATGCGCCTGACTTGCTGAGCCGATTTTTTAGTACCGACTGCGCCATCTGCACCATAACTTGTTTGCAGAAATCTTCCTCCAGGAACAGAGGCTGGACACTGCGTTCGGACTGCTGACACGGCAACACAGTAGAGCCAGATGGCGCCCCCTGTGTGTGATTCATAAAAAATTGTAACATCTGATGATCAGCATCACCCCTCATGTAGATATGGGATTACAACAGCTTACTCCAGATGAGGCGTCAACTCCAAGCTGCTGCAAAGGGAATGTTGCTGCCACCTTTGATTGTAACTGTTCTTCTGTACTTTGGTGAGCTCGATACACACCCCTTGAAAGTACCCTCCCTGGAACCACCCCGATACCTTCTTCTTCATGCTGGGTTCTGTTGCATCCGTACAATGTACAATGACATACATACATGGGATTTAGGTTCTTCATGGAATCTGACGTATAAATTTGACAAGGGATGAGAGCAGTGCAGGAAGCTTGAGTTGCAAAATAACAGGAGTAATTTTCGAGATATAGGATATGTCTTCCTTGTTTGATAAAAAGATTATACCACTGGTTTAAATAGATTTGTTGGTTGACCTTTCAGCCTCACACATGAGGTTTGTAAAACCGCATTGCATCATTCACCAAATTCTCCTCCTGAACAATATTCCTGAGTGCAATCACACCGCTGGAAACGTGATTTTCCATCTCAGGGGCCAAAGAAGTTGTTCATTGAAACACCGCTAGGGTTGTGTTATCTTGAAAATCCTCACCTCATACACAACAGCAGGCCACTGATACACACATTTGTCGGATCTGGTGAATACGTGCTTTGTACTTGATGATAGAAACTGTAGTGTTTCAATGAAACAACATCTTGCATTGGTTATGCCCACACAAACTCCCAGATATACTATACTTACTTGCTGTTTAGTGTGTGGCTGTGCCTAGAGAGTTGCTGCATGAGCCCTCCCAGCACAAGTCAGACCTCACCATGGCAAACCGTTCCAGGGACCTGAACTTAAATAGGTAGCTACTACCCAATCTGAGTTTTGATTCATTCCCTCACCCCCATCGGTTGCCACCCCGCCAGAGCTAGTCCCAACCTTTACAACCTTAAAAATGCCCACCACTTTTCTTTTCAATCAAACCCAACTTCAAGTAATTAAAGCTATGCAAGATAGAATTGATTGTGTTGTAGAGAAGATCGAGCTCCCCCCTGATAGTGAACCTACTCCCGCTATAGTCCAAGGCAACTGGTCCGGTGACTGGATCAATTGGAATCATTGTTATCAACTACAACAAAAGCTTTATGCCGATGCTCACGACCACCGGATCCCCCAATGGGCTGTTCCAAACGTAAACACTACCTGGAACGCTAGAAGAAACCGACTTGGAAGAGGTTTGGCCTTGATATGTTCTCCGCTTAATCACAGTGGTACTTACTAATTTTTTGTGCATCCACAGGGCCCCTTCAGTTTGTAGACCAAGAGAGCAACAACACAATCGGCATTACCTTAGCTTCTGGCGTTGGAGCCAATAATTCCTAGGTCTCTGCTATCTCACTAAGGTAAGGCCAACTTAACAAATATTTACTGGTTCCTATCTTGGTGCTGACGAAACCTATCATTTTGATCCAGATACTTCTGATTTCCTGGAAACATACAACTCTCATACTTCTTCCCCAGTTCTATTACCTTCAGTAAAGAATATGCTTTAACCTTGTGTTACCCAACCAAATTCCACCAATGAAGCGATTTTTTTCTGAAAATCTTGTGATTGTGTTGCTTCATTCCCCTTCCTCCCAAGACCCAAAGTAAACATACCATCCAACAGACAGCATGTTGTTTGATGATGCTACTTTAGTTAAGATGCCCACCGCATTATGGTGTTCTCTTAAATCTCATCAGATATCAATACACACAATTGTAATGTGGTGATTTTTTTGGCTGATGCCTCTTGGGAACTGCATTTGCTGCCAACCAGTAGGTGATTGGTTAAGATTCCATGCCAAGATGCCGGTTGGGTGTGTTGGCATGTACATACAGGTGCAGGATATATAGTATGTTGATAGGTGGCAGCATGTTGTATCACAATTTCACATCCATGTCAGCCACTCAGGTACGGAACAGGTACGGTGTCATGAAAACGTACGCGCGTACGTTTTCATGACATGAAAGCGACCTCCACCCCATACCACACAGAGAGCACAACACAACCAAACAATGCACACAGTATAACAAACTCTGTCAGCCTATGTGATGCCAAGACACGTGTCCTCTAGCTACACAAGGTGCAAAAAGTAAGAGTTTTTATGGCAAAAACTCTGGGATAGAACTGGTACAGGTAATTCAAAAGAATTACGTGAAATTTATGGATTTAAATCAAAAAGTGGCCAATTTATATTAATAAATTTAATATAAATTAAACCAGAGGGGCCTGATAAATCAGGGGTGGTTTAATCCCTCTAAGGTATCGTGCAAAAAGCAGAGGATTTAGGTACCTGATACACTGGGGCCTGTAGCAGGTGTGGTTTAAATCCCAGGAAGAGTAAATTTTAGGGGAAAATCTTCAAGAAAGGGTTATTACTTA